AAAAAAATATATAAAGATACATTTATACAAAATAGTCCTCAAACAATACAAGAGAAATTCGGTGAATTAAAATTATGTACATAATAAACATTCGAAAATTAAAATTATGTACATAATAGAAATTCGGCGAATTATGGTCATAGCATCAAACTCATTGCGAAGATTAACAATTTAACAGTTGTAAAATAAATAATAGAAATAATCAAAAGCGCGTGCGAAGCGCGCTTGTGTAGTCTAGTCTTAGAAAAAAAAAGAAATATATAACGATCCGATTACAATTTGGACAAATAAATTAAATAATATTATTAAAAGCGCATACATCTATTACACACTAAATACATTTTTTTTAAATATATTTCAACTTTATCTTTGTGATTTCTTCAATATTATTATATTCAATATTATTAATATAAAATATTTTGTTTGCCCAAAGGAAAGAAAGTTTACATAAGATCTAAGAAAAGAATAAATAAAGTGGGAAGAATAATCGAGAAAAATTAATTATCCATTTCATTGTTTGTGCATTAAAAACGTAAAAAAAGAACTCTAGTTCTACGAAAAAAAAATACGCACCTTATTATTATTAATATTATATCTATATATCCATCTGTCATCCAGAAGCGATGCGTTTCCGCTGCGTCATCGTCATCATCATCTTGTATTCTGGATCCAGTTTTCAGTTTATACTCAAGAATCAAAGCGAAACACACAAAACAACAACGCAAAAGTTGATCCAGAGAACGAACAGTGCCCAAATTTTTCGTGCGAATAAAATTAATGCAAATATTGCGTACATCGCATCAACACATATTACAAAATACATCCCACATTGATATTAACTTTTTCTACATATCAAATTACAATACAAAGAGTATACAAAGTGTTCCGAATCAAAAAATATCTCGATATAGAACGCATCTATTAGAAAATAATAGGCATCGATTTTTCATATCTCGTGTTCTGAAATTTTTAATATATGCGCAAAATAAAAATGTGACGCTTTTTGTTTTCTCGGTCTACTTATTCTCATTTGCTCAATACGTAATACACATAAACACAAACACACATGTGAGAGGCAAAAAAACAACATCCCAAAAATATAAACACATACATATACATGTACCACTAAAGTGCAAATTCGATTCTACAATATTTATGTTGCGTATTAGCTAAAAACAGACTTTGTTAAGTATCTGTTATACATTTCTGGCAATACAAAGACTACAAAATTAGTTAGTTAATTTCGATCGACAAACTATATCAGCAGAACCTTAACATAATCAATTTTTACAGTTGATGTTAATTTGTTAGTTATCGCACGCATTTTATTTGGGTAATCGTGAATTTTTTTTCGCAATGAAAAGATCGAAATATCGCAGAATGGAGTATAAATCAAGGAAAAACTACGAGTTTCCGTTTGAAAATAATTTATTTTTCATTTATTAAACTCTCAAGGCACTATCTTCATTACTTTTACCATATTAGAGCTTTTCATCGTTAATTTATAATCAAAGATAAAATAATTATTAGATTATATAACAATTATTTTATCTAGAAGAAAAAAATAAATGCCGTCTTCATATAATGTATAAAATTTATCATTTTTTTCATCAAAACAATGTATTCTTGATATCTCTCAACGCAAGTCAACAAAAAAGTAATGTTTATTTTTTTCTTTTTTTACATGTACCGTTGAGATCTTGTAAGAGATATTGTCTACGTCATTTTTTGCCACTAAAATATATTTCAAATATAATTTATTTTTCTAATTTATTCAAACATATATTCACCCAAATTATATTTAAAATATATTTTTCTTTATACAAAAAAAATCGCATAAATATATTTATGGCTATTATTAATAAAATATATCTTCCAAACACCCAATACCATAAGAGATCGCTACAATCTTGTTTTAAATCTTACATAAACTGCGATGAAGTTATCGCTGAAAGTCACATATTGAGTTTTTAAAAATCAATATCCTTACAACGCACAGACATTCGAGACGTACGTTTGCAATTATTATAGATATTTACACAATATATTTATTTATTACTGCATTGAAAACTTGAAAAGTTTCTTTCTACGATACAAATTTAATAAAAATCAGAAAAAAAACATTTGTAACAATATTTTCTTACATATATATGTTAACTTTAAAAAAATTAAAATACATATAATTTTTATATTCACACAATAGATTTCGATTTTTATTTAAATTGTATCGTAAACGACATATTATGTAATATCGTAATAAGCGAAAATCGGAAAATACATTGAAAATTATAATATAAACAACCTTTTTTTTAATTTATTTGAGGCCTTTAATTATTCTTAATATATTTTCGTCGTCCTCTCTTTGGGAAGTCACGTCTTTGCGTATTTATACTGCATTATTATAATTAAGCAAAGCTGCTATTTGCATAAAACTACTTTCGAACTGATGTGTAAGTTATTTCATCAAATTACGTTGAAAAAGAAACAGAAAGATATTCTTTCTAGTAAGGCATGTGGTACGATAGAAAGAATCAAGCTTTATAATGTAACAAATTGTATTTTTTATAGATAAAAAATACAATCGCATTAATATCTCTCCATTAAAAATTTTTAAAAATACATTTTTAATTTATATTTCTATTTCTAATTTTATTCATTTTTTTCTTCTAGGTAAGTGCAACATGCCGAATATGTTCGATTGTTGCAGTTTGCTTGTGTGTTATATTATAGACATAAGAAAATGACTGAATTGACTGTATAAAGTGTCCAAGCAAGAAAGATTCAATCCAACAAAATCGGATCGAATTTAATAAACTATCATGTTACGGTTTCTAATGTACTTAAAGAAAATATCGTTTTTATATGAAACTAACTTTCAAAATATTATATAAAAATATTTTGCATCTCATATTAATATGTCAATTTGCCATTTTTAATATAAAATATTTTAAGCTCATCACAACATTAATTAACTTTCTAGTCTAAAGATTTATACAGTACGTTCATCTGGCGTCAGATTACAGTCACAATTCAATTATCTCTTATATCCATAGTGTGAGATATCTATCCCAAAGGTTAGTCTCATGTAAATGCAATTTATATAAAATATCCCGCAATTAGAACGATGCATATGACTATCTATAATGCTAAAATACGTAAGAAGGTTTCAATCTGTGCGTCACGAACTCATAATCGAAACTTTCTCACGTGCTCTCAATATCACAGACAGTCACATACACATGCATATATACACGAAGAGCGAAGAGAAATGCATCCTTATCGTCTTACAAAAAAGGGGAAAAAAGGAAAAAAAAAAGAAAAACATACGGCTGTTAACGAATTTCTTGTTATCTTACAAAAAACTATGGTAAGTAAATAAAGTGTGCAATAAAATATAATAATAAGTAATCTTATAGAGGGTGCCACATAAAAAATATTCGCTGAAAGGAAAAAAATTCTCGCTATACAACATAGATTTGTGTTAAATAAAGTTCTCAAAATAACTTATCAATCTCCGCATTGTCATTAGTATAGTAATTCGAGGGACCTCGCAAGATAATTTTATAATGAATGACTCGTTTGGAAAAATCCATCTACCACTAGACGTCACATATGCTTTATCACATAAAGTTAGACATGCTCAGAGTGTATTATAGATATATCGTCGCATGTTTTACTCTATAATCCGGCATACCTTGACTTTACAGTCACTGCAGTTTCGATTCTTTCTTAACATTATTTTAACATTCAATTTTATATCTTTCTTAATATTGATTTAACATTGAGTTATAATTTTTTCCTAATTTTGTTAAAGGATTTTGTATACAGAATTGATTTGCATCACGCATATGCATAGAGAGAAATCGATTAAATGCACATCCACGATATCGATAGTTTATATAATACATTGAGCATTTCATCGATTCTTATTTATATTATGAGATCCTTATTTATATTATTCTTTATCTACCTACATTATGCATACACAACCAATTTTAATCTACACTAATATATATTCAATCGCTAAAAATTGAATTGAAATATAGAAATAGAATTATAGAATAAGGAAGAATTCTATAATCCCTTTAAAAAATTTAATATAAATTTAATTAAATCTTTTAAATAAAAAAATTTTGTTTTTGAAATTGGTAAAGAAAATTAATAAATTTCTTATTAATATTAAGGATGAAAATAATTTAGTTATGTTTTATTAAATAAAATGACAATAAAAAGTGTTTTTCCTTTTACGAGATGTGAAAGAAAACGATAGTGGATCATTTATTCATAGACAATTGTCATAAATAGCATGTGTGAAATAAATCCTTTTAAATGCGCGAAATGCTAATTTAAACACACGAATCAATATTCTACAGACTGATATTTTCAGTCGAACATCATCTTATAATTAAACTGTAATTTTAGTGCTTTGTATACTTATGTATAAACATAAAAACTTGTATGATATAAAATTTGTCTGATTTAATTTTATCCACCACTGTGGAATCCTTTAAGCATAGAACTGATCAATCTCTATGCATATATGTTTATGCAATTACGCAGGTTTGTTTTAAAACTTCAATATGTACAAGAAAATTATATTACATTATTTTTATAGATAGAAATAATGATAAATGTTTTATAATTTGAATCAGATCCCCCAAAGAATAATTGTCAAATTTTTAAGCGTTTGAAATAAATCTTTTAATCAATACTTTATTCTCCCGATTTTCAAAAAAAATATTAATATTGCACTTTAAATTTAATTATCTTTTAAGTGCATCAATAATTTTTCACATTTTATTTATAATATTCAAGAGATACCAAGAAATCAATTAATTAACACGAATAATGCTAGCTTTGAGGAAATTAAAATTAAATATTTTTTTAAAAACCTAAAAAAATTGCTAATTCTCCATAAAATTCTACATATCTATCTATATATAATGACGCCCTGCTGAGAAAATCATTAACTAACAACGAATGAAAGCATAAAATAGATCTGTCTTCGTCAATAAGTATTATATTACATTTAAAATAGATCCATTTTCTTTAGTTACATTACATTTCAAAAAATAGATCTGTTCTCCTCAGTCGCGTTATATATTTTCGCTGGTTCAAAATAAAATTCACATATCAATAATCGATCGGAGAGAAAAAAAAGGAAAGAAAAAGTGTGAGAAAAACTGAGAAGAGAAAATATACGCGGCTGAAGAGAACGAACCTAAACGAATACAGGCGGAATAAAAAGCTTCGAGAAGACATAGAAAACGGGATCGTCCTTTAAGCTTAAGCCTACGTAGACGACGAGGTATGAATACCGAAAGCTTGGAAAATCTTGTTTTTAAAACCGGGTTTATTAGGACTAGCGTCGTGCTGATGCTGGCCGCCGCCTGCCGCTGCTTGTCCCTCGTGCAGTGCCCTTTGCACTAGTGGCAGCGAGCTACTCGCCTGCGAGTTCGTTTGCGTTTTCGGATCAGAATTCAGATTCAGGTTGTGCCGGAGATGAGGACGACGAGGCGGAACGAAAAAAGAACAAAAAGAAAGAAGAAAAGGATAGTAGACAACTATAAAGTGTGTGTGTGTGTTCGTGTGTTCAAGCTACGTTGTTTAACATGCGAAAGTGCGTATACTTGCTAAATATAAATGAAAAAAAGGGAGGAAGTGACACTCACCTCCTCGTGGCTCTGGTCGTGCTCGCTGTTGGCTAAACTTGACCGCGAACCGCGTCTGGTCGAACTCTTCTCGTCGCCCAGCAGCTGCGCCACTCGCGCCTTGTTCACCAGTTCTAGCGCCTATAAAGAGAGAAGGACGAATTTTAATTTTATTATATACAATGTAATATTTCAGGTACCAACGCACGTCATTTTGCTACTTGGGGTATAATAAAAAATATGTAATATTATATATTATACAATTATATATTGTATATTACACATATATTATATATAAAACAATTCTTAATTTTATTTTTCCTCTTTTAATTCTTATATATCCAGTTTTAATTTATGATTTTTATTTTTCAATAATTTTCATTTTTTGAACGTTTAAATTACACTGGTTTACAAAAATTTTTTTATTATTTCACACCAGACAAGGTGTTTCTTATAGATTTTTGGATACTGTAAGCCTGATCAGAATTTTTAGATAATGTAATCTTTTTCACAAAAATAATTTTAAATATCACAAAAAAATATTATTTTTCACATGTTAAATCTTAATTATTTTGGAAACTTAACGTGCTGGTGAAATTTGGTTTGCGACATCATTTTTAACACCCAAAATCTATAAGAAACACTTTGTCTGGTTTAAAATAATTTTTGGCTATAAACTAGTGTTATTTGAAATGTTGACTATCAATGCCTTCAAAAAAATAATTGCTTTTCATTAATTAAATTTTTTCTAATCAATGAAGATTTTTAATCACAAAATTCTAATTAATAGATAAATCTTTTTTGTTATATTATTAATTAATTGTAATAAAAATATTACAAAAAATATATATATTATATTTAATTATATAGTCTCGAGAAAGAAACTTTAATTTATTTTTATTTTATGTGTATTACAATAATAATTATGTATCAATATCATGCATATAGTAATGTTAAGGTGCTGATCTAAATTAAAATTGGAGTAATATAATGTAAAAAAAAAGAAAGAAAAACTTAAAAAAAAAGAACAAAATTTGTTCCTGCAAAATGCAGCCACCATGCAACACTTCACGAACTAAATTCAAGATCGTTAGCTTTTACTCACTTGCTGCACGTGCTGCATACGAGAAATATAAGAAATATCGTTAATTGTATCATTTATATGCGTTATCCTTGAATAAATGCGAGCATTTACCTCTCTTCGAGATCTCATGGCGCAGTCTTCGAGCGTTTCCGCGGCCTCGTATTTGCCCTGTCTTCGGTAAAGCGCACCGAGATTCTTCAAAGTGGTGGTAACCGTAGGAGAGTCCACCTTTGCAGCTTTGTGCCAACCTCCATATTCGCCGTATGGTGTATTCTCTTTGTTTCTGTGTTTATTCTCTTCCCTCTCTTCGGCCACCTAAATACAGAAATCAGAAGTTTCATTAATTAAAAATAATTAATAGAGAACATTTAATTTTTTTCTCATTTTTAGAATAAAGTACCTTAATATGGATTCTTAATGTAGTATCAAAGAAATCGTGACAGAAAATATTGTGTGCTATAGATTTTAAATTTTATAGTAATCTTATCTTAAATTTTATATTAATAATCTTATGATCTTTTTAATACGCGCGAGATAACAAATCAAAGATAAACATCATATCGTCGTTAATTGTTGGATATTACAAAACAGAGAAATATTGTCATAAAGATAATTTCAAAAATTTTGGGATTAAGTTAGATTAGATATAATCTTTTAGATATTATTATTTTTTTTAAAGTTGCATGTTGAATTGAATATATATATATATATACACACATACATATCAGAGAGATTACAATAAACTTTTCTTAATATATAAATATAGTCGAATTATATAAGAATAATTTTCTTATGTACAAAAGTTTAATATATATATGATAAATTTAAGTTTGCACATTATAAAGCCATAATATTGTGCATTAAAAAGTTTTTAAAATTTAATTTATATTTTAAATTTATAAATAAACTTATAAAATAGATTTTACAATAGTTAAATAGAAAACACAGAATGTTGTATTATTTTCTTTATAAAATTTTCATTAGTTTTCAAGTTTATATTTTTTTGTAACTTTCTTGCAATAACTTCATTAATATTTTTAATATATTACATTAACATTTTTTCTATTATAATAAATATTTTAATCCAATGAAAAATTCCATTAAAAATCTATTTCTAATTTATAAATAATCTCTCTTTCTCTTTTTCTTTCAATATTGCACGAAAAAATATTTTAATGTTTATCTACTCCAATAATATAATGTAATAGAAAATTTAATCTATGTTATTTGTCTTATTTTCTACATTACAATATTTTGAAAAATTTTAGTTGTTAACTTTTTAAGTCAAATAACGTAATAGTTTTAAATAGCTACAAATATTGCTAATTTAAAATATTTTTATATTTGTCTCCAAGTAATGTTAATCCAATTTCCAAACGCTACATCGTTATTGTAAGAATAAAAGGAATAATTTTGAAAGGATATTAGTGAAAAAATAATAAATTATAAATAACTATTTTCTTTCTTTTTATTTAATTTTAGGAACTTTTAACTACTGCTTTAATCTTCCAAAAAGTCTAAAAGTAAAAAATTGGACTTTTGTTTGCAGCTTTGACCAATATTACGACACTGATTCAGGTAGTAAGGTCTCGTAGTACCTGCCAGATCGGCTTGTTGTCTCCGTCGATGGCGCCGAATTCTCTCTCGTGCGCTCTGGTGAGCACCTGCTTGTACAGCACCTCGGCATCCTTGTACTTTCCTTGCTTCAGGTAACAGGACGCCAGATTATTCTTCGTCTTGGCGACGTTCGGATCGTCCGGGCCCAGCTTAGCCTCGTAGATCTCTAGCGCGCGTTGATAGTAGCGCTCCACCTCTTCGTATTTGCCTTGATTTTGACACAGGAGCGCCAGATTGTTCAGCTGCTTCGCGACATCCGGATGGTCGCGGCCCAGCACTTTCTCGCGGATCTCCAGCGCTCTTTTGCACAGGGGTTCAGCCTCTTTGTACTTCCCTCGCTTTCCGTACAGCACCGCCAGATTGTTCAACGTCGCCGCTACCGCGGGATGATTCTCGCCCAGTGTCTTCTCCCGAATCGCTAACGCGTCGTTCAGCAGGTTCGCTGCTTCCTTGTATTTATTCTGATCCCGGTACACGAGAGCGAGAATGTTCAACATGGTCGCTACATCAGGATGATCGTGGCCGGACGTCTTCTCCAAATCTTCCAAGGCTTGTTTACATAAAGGAACTGCCACCTCGTAACGGCCTTGACTCGCATACTGAATCACTAAATTGTGTAATGTGCGCAGACGCGCCGGTATCTCGTAACCGGCGTTCACTTGTTGGGCGAACTGCGACGGAGGAGTCGGAGATATAGCTGAAAGAAGAGGCAACAATAATTTTTATTCACGAAATAATTGTAATAAATTTTTAAATATTTTCTGTTTAAATCTTATTAAAGCTCCTGGCCTCCTCGTTGACCATGTTGGAATTGTGAAAATTAATAATAAATAAATTAACAATAAATTATAAGAGCATATATATATATATATATAATATATAAAAAAAATTATATATATAAAATAATAATATCAATTTAATATTATATTATAATAAAATCAATTTAATTAAAATTTTTTATTTTTATGACTTAAAGCTCTTGGATTCTCACCGCAACCATGTTAGATTGTGACGTCAGAAGCGAGAAAATACATGCTAAAAATTATTAGATGATGACATTTCGAAATAAAAAGATATTTCGATAAAACAGCACTTCGGGTGGCTTTAGCACAGTCTTCAAATACCTCGAAAATTATTATTTTCCAAATTACAATTAATCAACAGTAAAATGACTGTGATATAAGAGACTGTAGTAACATATCTTTTCATTTAAAAATGGCATTTAAAAATTCTCAGCGTGTAGTTTCTCGCCTCTGACGTCACAAATATGACCGCAGCAAGGATTATAATATATTATTAAATTAATATTATTATATATATGCATATATAATTTTGCTCTTATAATTTATTGTTAATTTATTTATTATTAATTTTTAAAAGAACATGGAATTTCTGTTAGAAAATATTTTAATTTAAGTATGTAAATTGTGTTTTAGATTTAGAGGGACACCTACATTTGCTATTACGATCATCCGCGTCATCATCTGGAAAGAGATCCACAACAGGATCGTCTTTGGGTCGATCCTTAGCGTTTTCATCCTCTGTCGATGGATCCGGATCATATTGCCGCATACTGGCCATGAAGTCTAAGTGCCTCTTTTCTTCTTCCAATTGAGCAACCTGCGAAATACACAATTGGAAATATAATAGACAGACTAATTAGAATGATGAGCAGAGAAATGCTAGACTGAAAATACAATTATTTCTTTATAAAAACCACGTTAAATTGCATATATATACTTTTTAAAAACAATTATACATTTTCCTTACCAATTAAATCTTCTAATTATTCTACGAATAAAAATATTAAGAGAAGATTATTGAAAATTACGTAAATACTTTATGAAATATTTTATATTTTATATCAAAATACATGTATTAAAATATAAAATATCTCGTAAACCAATTCAATTTTTGACTATTTTATCCTTATGATTTTTATGCAGAATGTTTCAAGGAATCTATTTGCATAAAACATTTAGGGTACTTTCAGTAAAAAAAAAAAAATCAAATTGGCCTCGAAAAATGACTTTAAAAAATACCACATAAGATTAAATTAATAAGACTAGTAAAGAGACCTTTCTAAACCCTACAACTTTCATTTAAAACATTTTTTTTCATAAAATCCTTCTTCCTCACTCTATATACATGCGGAGTGTGTCAAAAGTCTGGAAACAGCGAATTATCTTCGAAAATAATGGTTCCATGAAAAAATGTTAAATACAAAAGTTGTAGGGCTCAAAATAAGGCACTTGACAGGAACCTTGACTTTGACCACGGGGTCAAATTTAGAGGTCATTTCAAGGTCAATTAAATTTTTTCAACTGAAACCCTCTATTTTTTTTATTACACATTCTTGTAGTAGCTCATCTCGAGAGCTTCCAAAGCACTATATCTCCGCACCATTTAAAGTCACGTTAATGAATGGAAAAGAGCAACCTGTCGGAGACACTTACGGCTTGTTCGCTCGCTTGCAACTTCTGCTGAGTACCGGCAAGCTCGTCCCTTAGCCAGGCATTCTCCTGGCACAGCCTCTTCACCTGCGTCCTCAGCTTCTGCTTTTCCGCCTCCACCATTTGCAGATGACTCGCCAACGCTTGCATTACCTGCGCCTCGCCTAGGCCCAGGTCGATCATCTCGATGATCTTGGACAGCAGACTGGCCTTGTCGCGAGCTGCTGGCGCGTCCTGCGACTGCAGTCCCTGCAGCAGACCGCCATGCTCGACTCGAAGAGCCTCCAAGCCTTGGGCGACCGTCCGCGCACCGGCCACGATTTCCTCCTGCGTCATCGCCGTCATTCTGCCTATGTTCTCGATTTTTTTACTGGAAAGACAAGAATGGAAGTTCATTAATTTACATTTGCAAGAGAGATTTCTCTTTATACATACATAATTGTTTCCCTACATTTCAAAGCAGCATAAGCGTCAAAAAAAATTAAATATTCACCCTCATACGTGGATAATTAATTTTGTGGTACAAAATCTCGGGAATTCAAATACCGCAATTTTATTTTCGCAACATGGCCGACGAGCACCGAGGCGCTTCCGGTGTCGATGAGGGGGACATCGAAGGCCGAAGAGGCACGAGGTACCCGAAGATACCCAGATATGACAGGGCAACATTAATGACAACTCGAGCACGCGATCAACGAAGGCTCGATCGAAGGGTCCATCGAGGAAATGAGGAGGACGAGGACGAGGACGAAAAGAGAGAGAGAGAGAGAGAGAGAGAGCGAGAGAGACAGAAAACTTACCCCATGTCTTCGGAGCAATGTTAGAGCTGTCTACGTGCTGGTCTTTAACATGCTGGTATCGCCGAGTCAATATTTCGACGTCGGCGCAGTCCGACAAAGCGGCGCTCTCGTTCCGACAGAGCAGACACGGGTACAGGACGATTCACGAGATACATCTCGATATGTTAATTAATTCATTATCCTCCCTCGCCCTCTTATGCACGAGAAAAGGAAGGTTTTGATTTTGATCAATCTTTTTATATTATTTTTTATATTATATTTATATTTATTATTTTTTATTATATTATTTTTTATAGAATATTATAATTTTATTATATTATTTTTTATGGGATTGATAAATAATATAATTTTATTATTTATTATAGAATTGTATATATCGATTTATAGAATTATTTAATCAAAGAATAAAATAATAAAATATGGAATAATAAAAAATAGAATAAGAATAAGACTAAAAATGCGGAAAAATTAATAAATATAAAAAAAACCACAATAAAATCAAAAGATTTGAGCCAAAATGCATGTTTGAGCGATAAATTTCAAGTACTTTTATAATATCTGGTTTTATTTATAGACGTTTCAATATTTTCTTTGATTTTTTTTCAACCTATGCAAAAATAAATATATACAATTTGTCAAGTCTAACATATTAAATTATCGAAAAAAAATTAAGACTTTAAATGAGAAATGTGTAAAAAAATTGTATAAACGGAACAGAATAAAACAAAACTAATCAATTTTAAATTATAAAAACTAGAAAAAAATAAAACTCCATTTTTCATTGGACTGTAATAAATGGTCCGTAACAAATGGTCTGTAACAAATGGTCTGTAATACTTGGTCCGTCATAAATGGTCTTTCTATAATTATTATTTTACTTTGTATTGTTCACAGTTACTTTGTTTCTTCTACAATTTAAATAAATATATTTAAAAATAAATATTAATAAAACAAATTCTACTTATATTAGGTAATATTTACAATCTTTATTTTTTTATTTTTTTCTATATTTTAAATAAAATATTCACAGAATAAAAAGAAAAGTTTTAAGAAAGTGTATAAAAAATGCAGTAGAAAAAAGCCTATTCTGTAGTCCTCAAAAAATTTTTTAAAACATTAATATGGTAATTTACATATGTAACATAAAAGAAATTACACGTTTTAACACGAAATTGACACATTAAATATATTTAATTAAAAAAAATGAATATCATAATAATCGGGTTAGCTTGTAAACATTTTTTTGTCCACAGCATCGTTTAAAAATAAATCTTTATATTACATTATCTTTTTATAAATCGACCTGTAGAGGTGCAGCGCTGTCGGAAATTCGATGGTGAAGAAGAACGATTCGCGTTGTAATCAATAGGAGTTTATATAAAGGTTGTCTTCTTTCTTTCTCTCTCTCTTTTTAGGAGTTATTATAAATCTCTGTTCGCGACTACAATAATCAAAAAATAAATTTCCGACGATATTTCTGGACAATTTTTATATTTTTGGACAATTATAAATTTCATTGCAAGATTAAATAACCAATCACAATAGGTCCTTTTCGATTACACGAAACTTCCATAATTTTATTGTGATTAAAAATAAAAAATTTCCATTTGTTGACGATGTCGAAATATTTTATCCAAATGTGAGAATTTATCACGAAATAATAAAACAATAATAAAAATTAGTGTTCCAATTGAATCTGTTCGATCCCTTATATGTAGATTGTGATACTTTGTCTCTCTTGATTACAGGTTTCGGGCACTCGTAAACCTTATTTATGTCCAATAACTGATACTATAGGCGGATTTGGCGAGCTCACGACAAGATTATTTGTTCAATTCCGGTATTTTCGCCATTCAATAGCTTTCCATCTCCGACGAGTGAGCTGGATTATTTGAAGTAACGATATTAAATCGACCAATCCATTCACATTGGATTTGTCCTTGAATAAATCGGCATCTCGCTATATAAACCATGTTATAAATTTGAAAAATACATAGAAGAAATTAATAATTATAATTTTTAGAATTCTGGAAATTATCCTGTTAGTGAATTTCGAAAAAGGAACAAATTTATCTTCTATTTTTTATATTTACATATTTACGATAATAAATAAAATTCATAAATCTTTTTATATAAATGATATATTCATATTAATAAACTCTGTATAGGGATGGCCAACTCACGGATTTTCTAAAACTTATATATTTACTATTTCATACGCGAATTTTAATGCGTAAAAATAAAATTAAAAATAAAAAATTATTATTTTGTTTTTCACATATTCATAGTAATTGAACAAAATTTTGAGAGCACGCAATATTGCTATAATGGCAAGAGGTGAAGTAAAACCAGCGAGTTGTAAAGTCGACAAATATAGAAAATAAAAGGTGAATGCGTGGGTAGAAAAGAGGCTTCGACCTTGCATTCTGTATCTTGCGTAAATTTCCTGATCTTAACCTAATAAAAATTCTAAAATTAAGTTAGTTTAAATTTGTATCGAGTTAATGTGATAAATACATAAAATATATATTTCCAAAAAATCCATAAAGTGGCTCCCATATTGAATATTTGCCTTTATACATGAAACTACAATATAAGTAAAAAAAATTGTATAAATCAATTTAAATGTAAAAATATTTATATTTTTGCCACTAAAAAAATTAATTAAAAACATTTAGTTTAAAAAATATTAGTGAACTATTAAAAGTAAGTGTAATCCAGAGAGAATATGTAAATCTTTAAAACTCGAGAATTTAATGGAAAAGATATCATTAAAAAACTACACATTTTCATTCTTCTTCAAAACAAAATAAATTTTTTTTAAATATACGAAAAAAGTCGCTTATTTATTTAATTTGTATCTATTAAGTTCACAAAAAAATTGTCAATTTTTTTTTATTAGTGAGTGCAATAAAAAGAAATTATTTGATCCATCTAATTTTTACACCATGATTAAACTTTATTTACACATGCAATCGTATTCTTTCTTCTCGGAATCGCAATTTAAAGTTCAATTCGCATGCAAAACAAAGTGAATATGATAGTGATGACAATATTGCACGCTTAGCACGCAATAGACTTTCAATCCTAAAGTGTAATGGCATTCATTAAGTAGAAAAAAGCTTATCCCCTTTTTATCTGCCCCTCTCCACCGAAATCTTATCATTTAAAAATTCATCAATCAAAATTATCATTTCAAAGAAAGAGGGATCTATCATTTCTTTGTATTTTCTCTTCAATTCCTTCAACTCTAAATATATAAAATATTTCAGAACAATAAAAGTATTTTTTCAACATATTTACTTAAAAATTCTTAGCAAATTCCTGGAATATCTAAGTATTTTTGTCTAAAATTCTAAATAAAATTAAAGATTTTTTAGATGGAACTTTTTAAAATAAACATATTTTTATTATTATGTGTTTTCCAATAACTGCAATTTATACATAAAAAATCAATTATTTCAGTTTTTAATAGATATGCAAAAATAATGAACAGAACTGAATAGTTTTCATCAGACATTTTTCATTTGCATATTTTCATTTTTTTAATCAAGAATCACAATCAAGATTATGCTTGTACTTTCAGTTTTTGCTTTAATTTGTATTTCACTGATTTTGCTTACAAAGCCATTTTTGTATTACATTTTTTTTAAAAGGATAAGTAATGCAAGGATGCAAGAAATAGTTCAAAGATCCCACTTTCTATCGACAAGGTTTTAATTGGATCTATCGCTTAGACAAGTAAATAAAGGCGAGAACTATGTTGACAGAAATAGTATAAAGATGTGTATCTTTATACGCTTTATACAGTTAAAATAAAGTACGTATTAAAATAAAGTACGTATTAATTAAATTAATTGGTTGAAACCTTACTTTTTTACTTCCTCCCATATACAACACATATTTATATCGTAATGTATTTTAAACACCACTAATTCAATATGGTCATAAATAGATTTCAAAATAAATTTTATTTATTAAATAAATTAATTAAAATTTAATTTTTTATTTATCAAAATAATATAAATAAAATATATAAATCATATTTAACAATATAAGATTAAAATGATCAAAAAGACAATAAATTGTTTTTTAAATTCCAATAAAATTTCATGAAATTGAATTTAAATCCTGATTTTTTAAATTAAAAAGAATCGAAAATTACAAACAAAGTGATAAATATAAGGCCAACTTATCGAGCTGAATATTCGAGATGTTCAGTCAACTACCATTTATTACAGTATAAATTATAAAACTACAGTCATTATATTAAAACTAACGCAAATTACAATCATTCTATAAACGTTTCGACCGCACGCGGTCTTCTTCAGTATAATTATTGAAATATAAATTCTTACAATTCACATAATATCGAATTTAATTATAGTTATTCAGAATCAAGAGTTTTGAGTAATTAACGCGTGTTTCAATCGAAAATTACAAGTTTTTTTTGTTTTCGGATATGGATATCCTTTTGTGATTGTAACGATACGAAAATTAAATTTTTTAAAATAAAAAATTTTTTCGTATACGTATTCAATAATAGAACTGCATTTATCAATATATATTA